AACATGAGGGATGCATGGCAAATGCATGACAAATGTCTCTTCTCTTCACTTTCTTTCTACCAATTGTGTACCTAAGAGACCAGCTAAAGGTCATTGGCAAACCTAAAACTATGATATTCATTCATGCATTAATCATTTACTTAGCAAATATTTAGTGAGGACCTAATTTTATGCCAGACTCTGCAAACAGTGATGAACAAAACAGGCAAAGTCCCTGCCCTCCTGGATGTTGGAATTTAATCCCCTTCTCTTTCCTCTACCCCTCCCTGTCTCTTACTTGACTAGTTGAGCACTGTTTTGGGTGTTCCTGAGAATAGGCCTCTGTTTCTCCTTTTCCCCCATGAGATAAGGCAGCAGCTGAGACCACGGAAGTAAATGATTGCTTTAAGTTTGTGTGAAAACAAGGCCACACTGCCCCACTTGAATCCTGCCCATGGCAGGACCAGGGCCAGCCAATAGCAGGCTGTCAGCACAGCTAAAGCAGTCCTTCCTGAATGTCTGCTTTGAGACAATGAGACTCTTTTAAGCCAAGGCACCAGTAGCTAATTGGAGTGTTTTTCAAACAAACTTTGTTGAAATTATAAAGCAGCACTTCGGAACAGCTGCCCTGGGAAGAAATGGGAGTGCAGTTTACAGTGTTCATACACACAGAGCCAGGGTGTGCCCCGAGTTAAATGAATCCATCTGGGGAGCAGATCGGCCCTGATCATAATGAGCAAATCAACCCCTGATAAAAATAGCTGCACTCACATGCAGCTATTTTATCCAAAGTAGATCTCAAGGAGCTCAAAGCACATTATAAAAAGATAGGTAAATAGTGAGCCAACAGAAGAATCCTTTTCTGTTCAGTCCAACATTCTATCTGGTTCTGTAGCTAAGAAGAAAGCTTATGTTTTCCTCTGTGTGACACAATGGATCCAGCTGGAATAGTTCCTATGGAGAACGTAGAAAATCTTGTACTCATTGTAAAATCACAATTATCATAATAATATTAGCTTGGTGCAAAAGTAACTGCTGTTTTTGCCTTTGCTTTTAATGGCATTAACACTATTATTAACTTAATAACAGAATTCTGCATTAAAACCATACTTCTACATTTGTTGTCTCTTTTGAGCCTCACAACGGCCCTTTAAGATAAGCAGAATAGGTATCATACCTTGTTGAACAGAGAAAGAAACTGAAGTTCAGAGAGGGTAAGTGCCTCACATAAAGAGGCACAGCTTTTTAGAAGGAAGTAGCATAAAAGAGACATGAACAGTTCTTATGCTAACACTGGTGCTTTCTTGCTCTCTTTGCTATCTTCAAAAAAGATCTTTCTCTGTTGATTACAGAGTTTGAATCCTCAGAACCTCAAATGGCATAGGCTGGCATCTGAGCTTGTTGTGGAATTCTTTTTAATGATCTCCATTTTTTACCAGAAAGAACAATGCTTTGATTTTGAGGGCGTTACTATAGAATTGTCCATAAACTTAACTTGATCTTTTGGTTGATTCATGACGTTGCAGAGCTGGAGAATGTTCATTTATTAATTTAAAAGGAGTCAAGGAGCCTCAAGGAGAAAGATTCAAAGTGGGACAACTGTGATTCCAAAAATCAAGCCCTTGTCCGTGGGAGAAGGAAAGACCAGTGTGCTTCTTCAGTCTGTGTTGAACGCTTTGATATTTTTTCTCCCACTTCTTTTATTGGACTAATACATGTTTGTCTCTTTTTCTTGCCCATTGACTGACTGTATTCCCACTCCCTTTAGGAGCACTGAATTATTAAATTCAGAGTTCATTGCCCGGCAACTGCATGTGCCCACTGAACATTGCTGAGGTTGAGTAATATGCTGACTCGGAGATAAATAAATGGTATCAGTAGCTAACATTTACCTCTAGGATGTCTAGGTATTCTCCTAAGCACGATACATGAATTAACATATTTAATCTCTACAAAGGAAGGTCTCTTAGGCATTAGTATTATTGGCTTCATCTCTATCTTAGAAATGTGAAACTGAGGCACAGGAAGGTTAAGGCCCTTGTCCCAGTTCACAGCACTAGAAGCAGCGGTCCTGGATTTTGAATCCTGGAAATCTAGCTCTCTACAAAGAAACCACGTGCTTAGGAATGGAGGGAGTTGGGCAATGTGTTTTCTTTATTTGTTTTGTTTCATTTCAGCGGCTCCTGGTACAGAGAAAAGAAAGTTTTGTTCATCTCTCATCTCCAAGTTATCTAGTGTAGCCATCAGAAAAATAATGAGTTCTTGTGAAAACATAATAAATTATATGAAGGCAAGATGGCTCTCAGCAGCAGGAAAAACTTCTATAATACCTCTGACCAGTTTCAGGCTGAGAAGTAGGGGCACTGGGATTTTGAGGGTCAAACTGCTTTGGCCAAGGGATACTGCCTTGAGTATCTTAAGTAATCGAATACGCAGATTTGAGTCACAGTAACCCCTACTCTGCTGTCCTGTATGAGATGATAGGAAAATGGCCCAATAGTTTTAAAGATGGTGAGAAGTCCTGGAGGCACAATGCTAGCCCATGGAAGCCACTCCAGGCGGGTTTGGTGGATGGATTCATAAATGAATGAATGAATGATTCACCTTCAATCAGCAAAAGATGCCTGCTTTTCAAAAAGCTCAGTGTGGGATTCACATCTCAGAATCTTATCCTTAAAAGAACTTTGGTTTAAACACTTCTTTTTGTAACCATTTTTTTGTAACCATTATAATCTTCAGCATTACATCTGAGGCAAGGAATTGACCAAATTTTCCACCAGGAAGCATTAAAATATAATGAAAGAAGTCAGGGGAAGGGGGTGGGGAGTGGTTACTGAGAAGGGGTCAGTTCTCTGTGATGCTAGGACATTTGTTTTTGGCTTTGGGGAAAAATTGAACATAGCTAACATATCCCCATATTCTAACTGACTGCATCCAATATGAAAAGGAATATTTTAAGGTTGCCAAGCATACAGAGGGCTTTTGCTAGGAAAGCTCTCATTACCAATATTTTCTGAGTCTTCCAAACACTTTGCATGCAAATACCTGAGACTGGGTAATTTACAATGAATAGAAACTTATTGGCTCACAGTTCTGGAGGCTGAAAAATCCAATATCAAAGTGCCAGCATCTGGTGAGGGCCTTCTTGCCATGTCATTACCGGGCAGAAGGCAATAGGATGACAGAGAGGGCTTGAGGGGACTGAACTTGCCCTTTTATAAAAGCACCAATCTCACCCATGAGATGGAGCCCTCATAGCCTAATCACCTCTTAAAGACCCCACCTCTAAATACTGTTACCATGGCAATTAAATTTCAACATCACCCTTGGAGGGGACAAACATTCAAACCGTATCATCACGATACGGCAAAACGACATTCTCTTAAGTGTACTTAAAGTACCAGGCGACTCCTCTGGACAAGCCCCTGACGTGCCCTCACCAAACTTCCAACCAGATTCTTGCCCTAAAACCTCACTTATACTGGAACTCTGGAGCTGTCTTGAATTTACGCCTGGGAATTACAAATATTCAGTGTGCATATGTCGGATTTATAAAATTCCCATTCAGAAATCATAGTACAGGGGATTTCTGTCAATACCACAGCACCTAAGTTAATTTAATGCAATGCTGAAATCTGGGCTCATTCTTTCATTTTGCAGATGGGAAACTAAAGCCTACATAAGTCATTTGCCTGACCTTCCACGGCTAATGATGGGGAAGCCAAAATATGATCCGAGCTTCAAAATCAGTTTCTTTCTTTGATTCCCTATTTTTATTAAAGAAACTGCCTTTTACATTATAAAAGTAGCATACTAATTTGTAGAAAACTTAGAAAGTATCACAAAAAATAAAGAAAATAATATTGAATAATATTTCAATGCAAAGAGAAATAATGCAATATTTTGGCATATTTCCTTCCAATCATATAGCATCTAGTAAATACAATTTATTGACAAATTTTTTTATATGGCAAACAGGAGTCCATGCCATTAAAAACTTCCTATTTAGTATCTATATAATATTCAGTGTATACATACTTTATACTTTATTTTAATATCTACATAATATTGAGTATATATACACTTTATTATATAGTAACACAGTCTTTATTGCTAACTATTTAGATCATTTCTGATTTTAACAATTATAAATAATATTGAAATAAATCTCCTTCTACATAAATCTTGAACTGAAACACTGATAATTAAGTTAGCACAGATTCCCAAATGTGAGAATATATTTTTTCTATTTTATGTAGCCTCTTTCCTTAAAATTAAGACCCTTCCCCCCACCACCACCCTGAAATTATTTCTTCCACTTTGTTTATAAACCACAGAGTTATTATTACAAATGTCTAGATTGAGGTGTGGGAAACAGAGGGAAAGAGCTGGAGATTTGGAATCAGAAAATCTAGATCAATGCACCAGTTCACTTCTCACTCACAAGGTGATCCTGGAATGTTACCTGAGAGGCTTTCCGTCCATGTTTTCTCACCTGGAAAATGGGGCAGTAATAGCACCTCCCTCAAAAGATTGAACTGAGGCTTAAATCAGATCAAACATGTGACAACGGCTTTGTAAGCCATCATGTGGTCTTGCAAATGTCAGTTGTGATTACCTTTATGTGTGCTGACAGATTTAAACAGCTTTCAAAGGGAAATCACAAGAGAGAAAACCAGTTTATGTTGATGTGCTTTTTGGTAAAATGAAACTCAAACCTTTCTTTATTTTTTTGTATTTGTAATGCTTTTGGGTACATAGTAGGTGTGTATATTTATGGGTACATGAGATATTTTCATAGAGGCATGCAATATGAAATAAGCACATCACGGAGAATGGGGTATCCATCCTCGCAAGCATTTATCCTTTGAGTTACAAACAATCTAGTTATCCTCTTTAAGTTATTTTAAAATGTACAATTAAGTTATTATTGACTATAGTTACCCTGTAGTGCTATCAAATAGTAGGTCTTAATCATTCTTTCTATTTTTTTTTTGTACCTATTAACCATTCCACTTCACTCCCCCAAACCCCCACTGCCCCTCCCACCCTCTGGTAACCAACCTTCTACAATCTATGTCCATGAGTTCAATTGTTTTGGTTTTTAGATCCCACAAATATGGGAGAACATGCGATGTTTCCCTTTCTGTTCCTGGCTTATTTAATGTATTGTAATTCAAACCTTTCTTTTACAAAAGTTTGAAAGAATTGAAAGGCCCTCGGGATAAATAACAGCTGTCAAAAGAACATTTCCCAAGTCCAATTCGTGTCATCCTGGAGATTTTGAAAGCTTTTGCTCATATGTTGGATTAGCACATCTAAAAGTCTCTGAGCACAGGCACGTCCGAGAGTTAATGAACCCAACACGCCTTGATGCTGTGCAGGAGAATCACCAGGACCACAGCTTAGTCCCTCCTCCCTCAGGGAGGGCCACAACATGAAGCCAGAGTGTGATTGGCCTAGGCTCTTTACTAAAGAGCATTTAATGATGAAGGAGGATGCTTCCAAGAGGCTAGACAGCAGAGAGAGGACAAGTGAAGAGAGAAAGAAGGAAGGAAGGTGGCCTAGCCTTCATCAAGGCAGAAAAGATTCAGGACAGGCAAAGAAGTGAGAAGCTGGGAAGGTGCTCACTATCAGGTTTGTGAAAAGACAACTAGGCTCAGAAGTTTTCAGTGTAGGTGTCATACTGCAATGGAATGAAAAGGGAGAAAGGCAGTCATTTTATGGTTCAATCAGAGGTGAGGATTAGAAATTTCAAGCATTAACCCAGAAATCCTAGGGATTCAATGACAATGAAATTTGAAGAAAAGTGTGGGGACAATGGGAGCCTTGTAGGAAGGAATCAGTCATACCCAGGTGAGAAGCATCAGCCAAAAGGAAAACCCATAACAAATGGGGAAGCTGAGTTCTATGCAAAGCAGGAGGCAAATGGGAAATGCAGCATGCCCAGGAAAAGCCTCAACATGTACACCTGGCAGGAGATCCAGAGGCATAATCAGGAGGCCGACCAATGGCTGGTCATCAATCGCAAGGTTTACAATGTCTCCAGCTGGGCAGACAGGCATCCAGGTGGGCGCCGGGTCCTCAACCACTATGCTGGGGAAGATGCCACGGTAAGAAACTCCAAGCTTTCCCCCACAACCCTCTCCGTCTTTCCCCCAGCTGCTGGGTGGCTGAGATCTTGGCTGTCTTCCCAAAAGCATTGCACAATCATTCATCTCTTCCCAAACCAACTTTTCAGGATTCCTCTCTAGCAAAATTTTAGTAGTAAATTAAGCCTCAAGATCTAACTATGAGCTGTACCTGGTTTGGGATGAGTTCAGATACTGCCAGTGAATACTATGTTTGCATATTCTGCGTTTTCTTTTGTTCTTGGTGGTTTGTTTTGCTTTGTTTTGAAGCTGAGTCACTGTCTTACAAGAAGAAAATGACAAATATGTGAGTAAAATCTGGGAAAAAAAAAAAAAAAAGAACATCTGAACCCAAATAGAAATTTATAAGACTCTTATAAATTTCAAATAATTGGAGTGCATAAAAGAAAGAAAGAAAGTCACGCAGTGGGCATGAAAATGTTGTGAATAATGATGAAAGCCTACAATTACCTAGGCTTTAAGAGCTTGAAGAGCTCTTTGGCTTCCTGTAGTTCATTCAGTATCATACAGGTAATGCAACCCCACTTTTATTGACACATTGAAATGCATCACCTCACTTAAACCTACAAGGAAGGTGACTATTATTTCCATATCACAGATGAGAAAGTTGACATTCAAAGATGGAAAAAACATGTCACACAGCCAGCAAGTAATGGTGCCAAATTTTGAAATCAGGTCGGTTTGATCCTAAAGCCCTAAATATCTGGATTGTAAAAGAATAAAATAAAATTTCTACTTATTTGATAAAATGGTGTCTCAAAATCTTAAATGCCTTAAGGAATCTCTTTTAAAATATTCCATAAAGAAGTCAGTTTTCTCTCAATTGGGACTTTTATTTCCCACACTGTACAGACGAAGAAACAGAATTAGAGGAACTAAGCAACTAACTCAAGGTCAGAAATTAATATATGACAGAATCGAAATTTAAATACAGGCTTTTAAAAATTATGTGGCTCCTGTTGGTTTTACAGTTTAGCATATAACTTCTTTAACTGGTTTTAAAGATTGGATTGAAAACATTATTTTGCTAAGTACCAGTCTACAAATGGTACCGTACTAATCCTAACAAAATTCACAAATACCTGCAAGATTTCATCTTTTGATGCCATCAACATCTCTTCCTCAATTCTTATTCTTCCCCCAATTTCTCATCCCTCTTCTCTGTGTAGGCTCTTGTTCTTCTGCCACCTTCCTATCTTATTTCTACAGTCAGAATAATACCTTTCTGAGTATGCCCTGCTAGAGCCCCACCACTTCTCTCAGATATATTTTTTTAAACAAATTTCAAACTTTCCTTGGAAAATAAGCATGAGCTTATACACAGTGCCCAGAAATCAGAGAGCAGAGGGTAGAAGCAGCAAGAAGAAGAGCATTTGTGTAAGAACAACAGGAGAAAAAAAAAGAAGAAGAAGAAGAAGAAGAAAATGTAAAACATACTACAGATGCCTATCTATCCCATCCCCTCATTTCCACAACTCATAGAAAATACAGATGAGGCTTTGCTAACACAAGTCACAGAATTGGCTCAGAGGATGTGTTTGCAAAGACATGAGCGTTCAACCACCTTAAAAATAACTGATAGCCTCACTCAGCTGGAGGCAGCCAAGATAGATGATAAAGTTTTAATTGGCTAATGATTTTTACCTCCTGGAAGTCAGGAAAAGACCCTGAGTTTGTGTCCAATTATAGCCAACAAGGAGGAATTAATTAATATAATAGAAACCATCAGAATCTTGGGGGAAAATACCCATGCCACCTTAGGATTTACGTATGTCAAAGAAGAAAATCATAAGTTGGTCAGTCATGTACCTTAGACTTTAGGAAAATAAATAAAAAATGTCCAGAGAAAAGATTCTCCTAGAGAAAATGGCTTAAGAAGAAACGGGGAGTGCCAGAACAATCCACAGTACCCATGACTCAGAGTACAGGGAGCCTGAGCTTTGGAATAGGTTATGTGAACCTAGGAATGTTATTAGGATGTTCTGAGTCTCAGCTTCCTCATCTGCAAAATGAGGCTGACATTACCCATCTGAGTGATTTATGGCAAATAGAACCAACGCATGTAAAGTGTTTGGCATTAGTGCCAGATACTTAGTAAAAGTTCATTCAGTCATAGCCATTATCAGTCTTATCACCAGCATCTTTATCCTCAGAAATATAATTAGTATTTCCTGTTTGTTCACCACCAGCTTAGAAATCCTGTTTATATTTTGTGTCATCTGATTGGGAACGGAGGACTATATAATGAAGCATCATGCTTTCTTTTTTTTCTTTTCTTTTTTTTAATTTGAGACGGAGTCTCGTTCTGTCGCCCAGGCTGGAGTGCAGCTGTGCAGTGTCGGCTCACTGCAAGCTCCGCCTTCCGGGTTTACACCATTCTCCTGCCTCAGCCTCCCGAGTAGCTGGAACTACAAGCTCCCGCCACCAGGTCCGGCTAATTTTTTGAATGTCTTTGTATTTTCAGTAGAGACGGGATTTCACTGTGTTAGCCAGGATGATCTCGATCTCCTGACCTGTTGATCCGCCCTCCTCGGCCTCCCAGTGAAGGAGGGAAGATCATAAAGTCAGAAGGCCTGATATCAAATGCTTACCCCATAACTTAAGAGTCGTTTGCAGGTCAAGCCTCTGAGTGGCAAGTGTGAGCCAAAGTACTCTCACTGTGTGCCAACCCCGGGCCCATGGCTGCACCTGCCCAGAGAAAGCACCCTTTTCTTATATACATAGTAACTCTTCTCTAGGTCTCCATCGTCCTCATAAAAGGTGAATGATGGTATCTACGTAATCTATCCCACAGCGTCCTTCATTCATTCATTCACGCAGTCAGTTGTTCCAGAACTCTTGTTAGGGTTCCACCCTCATGGGAATGAAACAGGTCTGCTTTGCATCTGGGCTCTACATTTACTAGGAATGTCCTGAGGCTCTTGAAGTCTCAGCTCCCTTATCTAGAAAATGAGGATAATAATACCTTCACCTTAGCATTGCCATAAAAGTCAGCAGAGATCAAATGAAGTGAAGTGCTCACCGTGGTGCTTGGTACAGATTAGACGCTCAAAAGATAGCAGCTCTTGCATTTTGTTATTACTTCACTCTTCTGAGGTGGGTTTCCATTTTCTCCAAGGAACTTTACTAAGAAAAATAAATCTATAAAACAAAAGTGGTACATAAGCTCCTGTTATTGCACATATGAGGTATCTGGTATTTTCAAATGATATGATTTAAAACTAATGTCACTATGCTAATAACTAGAGTTATGGCCACAGTCTTTTTATCTGTAAGAGCTCACCTAGGAAAATCCAGAAACAACCTGTAAGTACAACAAGGAGGATTGATTCTATAGATTATAATTATAATACAATAAGCTATTTTGCAATAACATGAGGATTATAAAACATTTTTCTTTTTTGTTGTTGTTTTTTATTACACTTTAAGGTCTAGGGTACATGTGCACAACATGCAAGTTTGTTACTTATGTATACATGTGCCATGTTGGTGTGCTGCACCCATTAACATTTACGTTACGTATATCTCCTAATGCTATCCCTTCCCCCACCCCCTCCCTACAATAGGACCCGGTGTGTGATGCTCCCCTTCCTGTGTCCAAGTGATCTCATTGTTCAGTTCCCACCTATGAGTGAGAACATGCAGTATTTGGTTTTCTGTTCTTGCGATAGTTTGCTGAGAATGATGGTTTCCAGCTGCATCCACGTCCCAACAAAGGACACGAACGCATCTATTTTTATGACTGCATAGTATTCCATGGTGTATATGTGCCACATATTCTTAATCCAGTCTGTCACTGATGGACATTTGGGTTGATTCCAAGTCTTTGTTATTGTGAATAGTGCCGCAATAAACATATGTGTACATGTGTCTTTATAGCAGCATGATTTATAATCCTTTGGGCATATCCCCAGTAATGGGATGGCTGGGTCAAATGGTATTTCTAGTTCTAGATCCTTGAGGAATCGCCACACTGTTTTCCACAATGGTTGAACTAGTTTATGGTCCCACCAACAGTGTAAAAGTGTTCCTATTTCTCCACATCCTCTCCAGCACCTGTTGTTTCCTGATTTTTTAATGATTGCCATTCTAACAGGTGTGAGATGGTATCTCATTGTGGTTTTGATTTGCATTTTTCTGATGGCAAGTGATGATGAGCATTTTTTCATGTGTCTATTGGCTGTATAAATGTCTTCCTTTGAGAAGAGTCTGTTCATATCCTTTGCCCACTTTTTGATGGGGTTGTTTGTTTTTTTCTTGTAAATTTGTTTGAGTTCTTTATAGGTTCTGAGTATTAGCCCTTTGTCAGATGAGTAGATTGCAAAAATTTTCTCCCATTCTGTAGGTTGTCTGTTCACTCTGATAGTAGTTTCTTTTGCAGTGCAGAAGCTCTTTAGTTCAATTAGATCCCATTTGTCAATTTTGGTTTTTGTTGCTGTTGCTTTTGGTGTTTTAGACATGAAGTGTTTGCCCATGCCTATATCCTGAATGGTATTACTTAGGTTTTCTTCTAGGGTTTTTATGGTTTTAAGTCTAACATTTAAGGCTCTAATCCATCTTGAATTAATTTTCATATAAGGAGTAAGGAAAGGATCCAGTTTCAGCTTTCTACTTATGGCTAGCCAATTTTCCCAGCACCATTTATTAAATAGGGAATCCTTTCCCCATTTCTTGTTTTTGTCAGGTTTGTCAAAGATCAGATGGCTGTAGATGTGTGGTATTATTTCTGAGGGCTCTGTTCTGTTCCATTGGTCTATATCTCTGTTTTGGTACCAGTACCATGCTGTTTTGGTTACTGTAGCCTTGTAGTATAGTTTGAAGTCAGGTAGCGTGATGCCTCCAGCTTTGTTCTTTTGGCTTAGGATTGTCTTGGCAATGCGGGGTCTTTATTGGTTCCATATGAACTTTAAAGCAGTTAACATATTTTTCTTCTTAGAGAAAGGTCTTACTCTGTTGCCTAG